GCAACACAATGGATTCATTTGAAATATATTTATTATTCAAAAACATCAACATTCTTAGAATCGATTCAGAACACATTCGATTTGAGAAGTCATTCAACATGGATTGGTGATAATCAAATTCTTGATGGAATTTCTTTTTCTAATGAAAATGACAATTACAATGGAATAATTGCGATGTCTGGTGGATGTGTTCGATCGATTCCAGCAGATAATTCAATTTATAAAGAAAATTATTTTTCATTATTTTTTTACGAACATGTTCAAAGTATTTTTCATAAGAAAAAAGTAGCAAATCATCATGATGGTCAAGTTATTTACGAAGAATATCTTCCAACAATTGAATATCTTTTTCGACATGATCGAGGAGGATTTTGGGGTATTGAATGTTTAGCTCGAATGATTCCAATTTTGAAATTTTTATTAAATCAAAAATATTTCCGTTTGATTTTTAATTATTTTTTTCAAACAAAAATACTTTACAAAATTGCGATGTTAATATCAGACAAAAGACGTGAATCGATAGGAATACTTCAAGATATTGGTATTCCAACGGATCGTACTGAAAATATTATTCATTGGGCAACTGATAAAGGTTTAAATAAATTATGGCTTTGTCCAATTCGTTCATTTGCAAATGATCAATGTTTATTTAATGTTGCAAAATCAGATAAAGATGGTTTTATTATGAATGTTGGTTTGTATGGTCATATCAAAGATCTTCCACAATCGAATATCGATTTACAAAAGTTAGTGAAAAACTTTCAAGGGAAAGTCGCTCTCTACGCACACATTTATCTCACGAAAGATGAGTTTTGGGAATGTTATGACTATGATGAATATTTGTTTTTAAGACAAAATTTCTTTGGTTTTGTTTTTATGGATCTTTGGAACAAAGTTGCGAAAATTACTTTTTCAAAAAATTTTCTGAAAAAGTGATTTTTCGTGTAATTAAATAAAAAGAAAGAAAATTGTTTCATCAGAAAAACATACGAGTCAATATACGTAGAAAATTTCGCTAGAGGACGGTAAACGATCATTTTCCCATTTATAAGAAAAATAAATAGATAACAAACTTGCTCACAACCAACCAGATTTCAATGTTATCGACAATATGAATTATCAGTTTGTTTTGTCAAAAGTTAGGTATATTATTAAGATATGGAAAGCATTGCGTTTATCATTACATTACAAAAGTGTTACAAGCCAAAGTCCAAATGAGTACATTTATTTGAAAAAAAAGACCATTTCAATTATTAAAAACATAATTTAAAAGAAGAAAATATTTTAATAAGCATTGACTAACAGTTCATTATCAACTTGCAATGTTTTAGCCATTTTGACAGCTGCTAATTCAGCTATGACTTGTGCACCTGCTTTAATCGGTGGATATTTCTTTATTGTCTCAGGATTTGCGAATGATCCCAATGGTTGTAATATATGATCAGTAGCAATATGAGTAAACATTGTTGACGACACACGCCATAATGAACGACCTGCTTTTGAAGCTTCTTCAATTGCTCGAACTGTTTGTTCACTTACAACAACTTCATGAAAACCAGCTAAAACTTGTCCACCAGTTAGTCGTTCAAATTGTTGACCAGCTTGTAATAATAGACATCCATGTGGAACTTTAACAGGCAATCGTTTTCCTTCGCGTGTCCAGACGAAAAGACCAGGAAAACGTGCCCGCCCATGAATAGTAAGAAAGCTAATATCTGAATGAAAACCGGCGAGTATAGTTCCTTTCTGCCCGAATTGTCCAAGATTTGAACCAGTAGGAGCAAGTAGATTTGAACCATATTTCATTAATGATGTGAATGTATCATAAGGCATATGAAAACCACGAGCACACATCTCTGCAATTGTATTCACAGTTGCCAACATCAATGTTCCCCAATTATCCATTGTAGCTTTCCATTCTGGAAAATTTTCTGGAATAACTGGATCAGCATGCAGTTCGGGAAATTCACTATTTGATGGTCTTTCGCCTATTCTCCAGAAAAAGCGCGATTTATTATCAAAATCTATACCGATGTATATATGAATATTATAATACAAATATCAATTGAAACATACCCGGTGGACAGATAGTCAATGGTTTTTCTGTTTCATTGAATTTTGCTATCATATCACAACGATCACGAGCCTGTTCAACAAAACCAGGTGTCAAACCTACTTGGTAGAAAACTTCTTTACGTATATCTTTCGCTTTTAATTCATCACTTTGTTCATAATATTTTTCTAACATATCAATAAATCTATCATTTAGTCCATCATCTACACGTGGATCTTTAACACATAAGAAACCATATTTATGAAGGAGATCAGCAACTAATTGACAATCTTTAGAAGATTTGTCTGGATCATTAAGATATAAAGATAAATCAACAATTGGATATTCCATCTGGTTTAATATTTCATCTGGTTTTGTTTGGACATTAGTCATTGTTTCAAACAGCAAATGTAATCTCTATATGAGTTTCTGTTGATATATAACTATAAGGCATATTTGTTTGTATCACCTCATAAATGATAAAATATATACTGACGCAGTTTATTTTTCTTTTGTTCTTTTTTTGATAATTTCCGATTATTATTTGAAGATAAAAGACCGTTCTACATAATTCTTAAATTATGATAATTTTATTATGAATATTTGATCTACAAAAATTGGTCAAAAACTTTCAAAGTAAGTAGCCTTCTGTGCACATATTTATTTGATTAAAGACGAATTTTGGGAATGTTATGATGACCATAAATATTTGTATCTAAGAAAAAACTTCTATGGCTTTGTCATCACGAATCGTGAGAACAAAATTGCTAAAAAGACTTTTTCAAAAGAGTTTTTATACAATCGATTTTCGTTCTTCTCGTGTATTTATTGAATTGAATAAACAGAAAGAGCTGTATTACGGATGAAGTTTACAATGATATATGCAAATTCTTTTTGATCGAAATAGTTTTTCGTTACATCGAGAATTGTTTGATTGAAAGAAGAAAAACAAGAATTTGCCATTACGAAAAACGTACTCGGGAAAAATTTTATTCACGAACATACAGGTCATCTCAAATTTTGATTTTTAACTTTTCCATTAAAGAATGTTAACAATTAATTTCAATGAAATTTCTATACCAACGATTCGTTGTAAGAAACAGAAAGAAGATTCTTTTTTTTAAAAAAAGAACAAAATTGGTACTTTAGATGGATGTTTTTCCTGCGAACTTGATGATAATTATTTGTTAAAATTAAATGGATTATTAAAAAGAGAAGAATTTGAAAAATCAATCAATGAAATTAATTCATCGTGTCGATTATCATTGAAAGGGAAAGTTTCTTTTGTAATTTGTTTATTTTCTATTTTAATTGGATTGCCATTGACTATTTGTGGTGGAATTATTGAAGAAATATCTCATGAAAAACTTTTTCTCATACTCGTAGCATTTGGTGTTCTCATGATAATTTTTGGAATGTTTTTCTATATTTTATGTTATGTAAAAATCAATTCGAATCGTTGGAAACGAATTAAACAACAAGTTGATTGTCAATCGTCCAAATTAGTTCAATGGCAAATCCATAAAATCAAAGATTCAAAAGAATTTAATTTAATTGATTTTTATAAATAAAAAGGTGAAATTTCTTTTAGTACGAAATTGTATTGCAACATAATTCATCGAAATCTGAACATTGTTTATCATTGTAGATATTGATCTTCCATCATATTCTGGTCTTTATAATCAATCATCGGAATAAATCAAAGTTTTCTCTCTTTGAAAAATTCAAATAAAATATTTGACAAAAGTTATTGAAAACCAAATGTCGATATAAATGAATCTCGTTGATCCATAAATCTTGCTGAAACTCTTTCAAGACGATTAATAAAATTTAAATCATGATTTGAATCAATATTATGAGATAATTCATGACAAGTGACCATATAATAAAAATTAATTAAACGACGAACAATTTCAATTGATGATGAACAATTTCCGTTGAGAAATGGTTTCAAATCATCCCAATAAACTTGTTCAAAATACCGAAGATTATAAAATAATGAACCATTACTATTAAATGCAATGCGAGCTAAAAGAAAAACAAAGAAAACAGATGAAAAGAATCGATGTTCACTTCGACTTGTTTACCACTTTCAATATCACGAAAGAGATGAACTGTTTCAATTGGAATTGCAAAGACTTTCTTCACCAACGAAGAGAGAAGAAAAGAGATTGAAACTGACTTGACAAACGATGGACTTGAACGATTAGGTTCCTTAGTTTCCTAATCTGTCTAGTTTTTTATTACAAACTAATTGAACATTCTATCATCGATATTTCTAGATGTTCCTTCTGAATCTCCGTTTTCTTTTTTCTAGTTTTTTTTTCAGTACAAAATCTATTCATCTCTCTCAAAAAAAGTGTATGAACAGATGAGAATTTATTTCAAAATTCGAGTGTATCACAACCAGAAACTGCGACTGTAACTCATTCAAATATTCTTTATTGCTTTTTCGATAAAAATTTTTTTCTCTAGGAATATCTATAGTTGGAATGCATTTGGAAGATTGGAGAAAAGAAAAAGTTAATTATTTTGTAAATGTATTTGATCATTGATCGTTGAATATGATGACAAGATCAAAGAAGTTTTCTCAATGCTAAATGAATTTCTTTCGATATTGAATCGTTAATTAGAAGTACTACAGTAAATATCGTTGCAAACTGCCATTTATGGAGCAACAACATAATAGAACACATTCCTCAACAAAATCCTGCTAAATCCCGATTTGCGATCCCAGCATTCGATCTGATCACTCCACCTCTTCGCCTGAAAATGAAAGAACCGGTCGATTTTAAAATGTTAAATTCTATCCCCATAAAGACGGAAGATAACGCTGAGCATGTCATCGATTAAATCCAAGGCTTTAGTATCAGAGCTTGCATTGATAACAATAGATAACAGAACCTTTTCAACTGTGTAGAAAAACAAATATCATTAGTGTGAGGCCAGCACGAAGAAACGATGTCTTAGCTAAAAATTTTTTTACCAAGTATGTCCCGTCCATGAAAATTACACCATTCGACTTAGAATTTAATTCTGCATCGAATGGTGGTAGTTTCATCTACGGGACAAACTTTGAAAAAATTCTATTGAGAATTTCGTTTCCTATATAGGAAAACAATTAAGATGTAACTGAAGATTTTTCCAAAGTTTCTTCCGTAAATGAAATTTGTATGATGTTTAACATGAATTTTATTCTTCATACATTCTCATATTTGGATTTGAGATAAATTTGTATTAAAATATTTTAAATGAGAAGACAAATGAAATTCAACATAGAAAATAATTTATTAATCTTTCCGCAATATTTTTCTTTTATTTTAAAGTTTAGAGAAAAACAATGAAATAAATATATCAATGTTATATAGTGAAGTGATATAAATATATAAGAATTTGATTATTGTGTCATAAAAAAAAATAATTTAAAGTCCAAAAGAGATGCAGAGATTGCTGACTAGAAATTGAGTTGTATTTTGTGTTCGACTATTATTCATAATTCCATTTGTTATTTCAAATGTCATTGTATCACTATTCGTACAGAAATTACAACTTATTCGAAGACCAATTCGGAACTTTGTTGTGAAAGTACCAGATGATGTAAATTGTCCAGTTCTGTATGTGACAACTCTCACACTAAGTGAATCATACCAAGCACTATATAACAATAAAGAATCAAAAGAAAATCGTGTACCATTTGCTGTTGATATTGTTATATTATTATTATTTTTATTTTGCATTACAAAAACTCCATTAGAAACGGCACTACGATAACCACTATCAATTGGAGTTGATGAAACATTTATATATTCAGCATTTGTCCAAAGGAGATTTTTATAACCATTTGGTATATCACCTGATGTATTTGTTTGATTTTCAATATCATTATAATTAATCAAAGTTGTACATGCTAAAAAAGAAAGAAAGTTTTTTTTTCTTCTAAAATTGTAATATTAAAATCTATATTATTGTACTTGCAGTAGTTGTAGTTGATGAAATTGTTGTTGTTGGACTAACTATTGAAATATATAAATATATATAAAATCATTTATATTTGAATAAAATTAAGATCTTACTTGAACATATTGATAATATACAACCTATATTCAAATCATTTCGACACCAATTATTTTCTTGACATGTATCACCAATGAATCTTTGGTTTAAACACATTGATCCATTCCAAAATGTACGATCAGGACATTGACATCGATTAGATACAATATCACTTGAGAGATATCGATTATCTTTACATTGATCAGCTGATGCATTATATAAATGGAACATTGATGGAAGTATTTCAATCCAACCGATTATATTCGATGAATTAGCAGGTATAATCATACCTGTATCAACTGATCCTTCATATAAATGACATTGATGTGAAATAGAATCAAAATCAAAAGTACGACAGAATGTATTTTGTAAACAATACATAGCACATGAAGCCGTAACATCAACATTAGAAAAATTAGATAATAATTGAATATTATCAATTGGTTGGAATCGATTGCCTTGACCACTTAAAGCAAAATGTTCACCTTGAAAACTTGTAGTAGTTAAGAAATAACAGAGAAGAATGATTATCTTCATGATAAATGAAAAAAAATGAATATTGAAAACAAAAATTTAGAATTATCTAAAACAATATATTCTTAACATATACTAAGAATATAAATAAAAAACTAATAGAAGAAATGCTTCGAATTCGAAAAATATATTACAGATCAAACGTCGCAAAGAAATTTTTAAAAAGAAAATGTTTTTTTTATTCTTTTTTGCTTGTAGATTTATCAAATAAAAAAGACGTCCAATGATATAGTTCGAGATATTCCAAAGAATATCAATAGGAATTTATCATATTCATTTTCTAATTGAAAAAATACGATGCTGACTTTTTCTATGTTTCTCAAAATAACGCATAACATCTGTTTAGACAGATGAATTATATAAGTTCTTTTCCGATTTATAATAATATAATATTTCTAATGAAAGTATTCAAACTAAAACAATATAAACACATTTTAAAAATAGAAAGTATGAGACTAAACAATGCGATGAAAAACAAAGGGAAGAGGAAAAAAAGTACGGATGTGATTAATAAACCATCTGATTTGATTATAAAAAGTCGAAGTATTTTGGTCACAACATCATTAGTTTCTGACTAAACAATCACATTTTAATCCAATTATAGGCGAGACATTTTTTCATCGGTTTTACTTAAAAGTACATAAGTATTTTATTGAATATTCGACAAAAAAAGACTAAAGAATACTCATCTTACTGATAAGTCTTATTTACTAAACAAATAGTTTCATTATAGAGAATTCATAATCTTAAGAATCGTATGTTGATGAAGTATTCTTTTTTATAAAAAAGACTTCATATTTTATATTCAATTTATTTCCTTTTAAGTAAATACTGAATGAGAATCACGTTTTGGTAATGAGCCTTATTCCCATTTCGCTTTTTGGCCACGAACATGTAGAAAAATGGCCACATGTCACTTCACGTGTTTCCAGGTCAACTAATCCGATCGGATCCGAGTATGGGATTGTTCGACCTGGGAAATATTAAATAGTTTTTACAAGAGGATCATCAAACATGGTGAAGAAAGTACATATATAAAACCACAAATTCAGTAAATAGATTGACTTCATTGGAATAATACCATTGAGAAGTTTATAGTTTTTTATTCGTCCCATACATCTCTCGACATGTATTCTGTGACGAGCGGTAATACGAGTTTCGATAACCTTCTTCGGTGACAGTTGCGCTTTGCGTTCAAGAAATGGTGGTTGTATGAGAGGAAAATGTTTGTGTTGAAGATCTAAAGCAAAACCGCAATCAGACATTATCGCATCGCCAAACTCTAATAACTCCATTAGGCGTAATCCCAACAAGTGCTACAAACAGAAAAGAAATTTCAACTATCTTTTTTTACCTTTCGCAGTATTAGTATTTTTATAGTTAGACCAAGTGTCTTGTTGGGCTTGTGGATTACTTGGTTGATCTATTTCAAATTCAGTACCATCGATGATGACTTGTACTGTTGGATAATTTTTTTTTTCATTTCAAATGGAAGACATTGTTGAACGTGTTCTTTTCATGGCCATAATGAAATGGAACTTACAACAGAATATACGAAGCGCGTCCATGCGATAATAATGCGGCTAACAGTAGTTTGAGATATGTTGAAAAATATTCCCTGAGTATCTAATAGAGATGATACCTTTCAAGTTGATGAAACTAACTTACTAGCTCATGCTCATCAGTTACTCGACGTAGACGTACCATAAATTAAAAAACTGATTTTCTTTCGTAAGCATATACATTTCCGACGATGTTGAATACGATGACATATTTTCAGGTCTTTTAGATAGGTAATAAAATGATTATCATATTGCGTCTCGATAAAAAAATGGTACAGAAAGATTGTGTTTAAAATAAATGACGTGATATTCTAACAATCTCTGTATTTATCTATACAATAAATACATTTTACAAATATTTTACAGAAATTGATACAAACATTTATAACGACTTTCTTTTAGAAAGCTACACTGGTCAGTAAAAATAATTTACCTGCAATAATTCGAAAACTAATGAGAAAATACTATAAGATCGAAAACCAGTATAGTATTTAATTTTAATATCATCATCACGAAATCGGTCAATGCATATAGTTATTTGAAATACTTTTTGTTCATATGTTGAGAGCTGTTGGAATAAAATAGATAAATCATCTAAGTTTAAATCTGTTTGTGTAGAAATGGTACATGATGAAGAAGTTAGTTGTGTAGATATGGTTAAATTTGTTGGTAAAGCACCATGCTTTAATCGTTTTAATTTTTTCTGATTATTCGATGTTGTAGTAAAAGGTGATGAATCGAAATGACTATCGCAAACTCTCTTATGTGTTGCGTCGTTTGAGTCATGTACATTCAGTAGTTGGAGCCATATTTGTTGTAAATTTGGATCCTTTGGAAATCGATGAAAAGAAGAGTTATTAGTTGGAGTGTCTTGTTTAAGACAAGCAACACATCGTCGTCCCATTTTGTGACAAGGAATGATCATTCAATCTAAAAAAAATATTTCAGAACAACAATATAAAGACTAATCAATAACACGGTATACTCATTAACGAGATTGTCTATATTAAACCAATTAGTGATACATACAGTCGGCTTCTTCTTATTGTAATCTTGTTAGAGATATTATTCAGTGGGGATAGAAAAGAAAAAGTTATTTATTGTTGATACACTTTCATACTTCTCACGTCAAACGAATATGACATCTTCATGGTCACCATCATCTAATTTTATTTCTATTGTTGAATATAAACGACCATTTAATATAGATTTAAGCTCAACCACAGAATATTTTTCACTAGCATTAGCTAGCGATGGAAATCTCGATCGAGGAGCGCTGAGAAATGGCAATGGTTTATTCAAAGATCATTATATTCATAACATTAATATTATTCGACCCAGGTCAACAAATCCGATCGGATTCCTGGAAACGGAATTGCATTGGAATCCGATTAGAAAAATCCCGTCGGTTGCCCCAAATTTTATGAGCGATCTTTTTAGCTATTATATTCTATGATGGCTCTAGAAAATCCAGGAAATCCATGTTTCGGATCCGTCGAATTCCTGTAGGATTTGATAAAATCCTATATTGGATCCGATGGGATCCGAGTATGGAATTGTTCGACCTGGGTACCTATTACCACGAATACAACTACAATTTGTAGATAGTTTCTAACAAATACCACCACATGTCAAAGATAATGTTTTCGTCACAGATTAGCCCAGTTATTTCACATTTCTGCAGAAGTAAGACGCATAGATTCCCGAAAGATGTCTTGTTAGTATAATAACAGTTAACGTGGATTTTTTGACAAGTTAAAAATTGAGAAAACTAGCAGAAGCCGGAAGAGTTATAACTGGGCTTATAACCTTTAACCTAGGTTATAATTTTTAACCAATATCAAGGAGGATACGATAAACTGTACTGAATCTTTTTAAATCATACTGAAATCTTATCAATTTTGCAAATGCTATGATACAGTAGAATCCGCATATTCTATTAACCGATACTGAGGCGGCATGAATTATGTTTCCAATAGTTCTAAGAGAATCTATACTTACTACGATTAGAGAGATAAACATATTCAGATTTACAAATCGAGGAAGTGGGTACGATCAGTGTGGAGCTAGCACGAAGAAACTGTGTGTAAGCTAAAAACTTTTTTCCAAAGTTTGTCCGGTTCATAAAACTTAGTCCGTTCGATTCAGAATTTAATTCTGCATCGAATGGTGGTATTTTTATTCATCGGACAAACTCTGGAAAAAAGTTTTTAGCTTACACACAGTTTCTTCGTGCTAGCTCCTTCGTGATAGCTTCACACTGATGGAAGTACGCGATAATGACTGTAGCAAAAGGTTATAACTAATTAAATTTTTAGTCCAAAAGTTCATCAATTATAACTCAAAAGTTATAACTCGAGTTATAACCTCATCAGTTTGAACTCTGACTATGGATTATTTAGAAGGATGTGTCACGTGGCGCCATCTAAACGAAAATCAGAAGATAGTTTGTTTCCTTAAAGAATATTGAAATTCAATATGTACTAATTATTTAGTGACAAATCAGAACTGTGTTTATATGATTTTCACCTTTTCATGAATCATCTATTCCTTTATTTTTATTAGATTGAAGTTATAGGTATTGTGAATTCTTCTGTGGACAAAGAAACAATTGATGCAGTCTGTGATTCGCTCTGAGACATTGTATTCTGCGATCAAAATGTCAATGGTGAGTATCACAATTCTCATCTTATTTTGGTGCCAAATTCAAAGTCAAGCAAGGAGTGATTTTGATCGTTTGCCAAAATCACCGGCGGACTATAGATATTTCGTCAAAGAATTTGGCAGCGTCTATAAAATTATTGGCTCTTGTTCAAAAGTCAAGAACACATCACCAAAATCACGATGTATCGTGCGAATTAATCATGAATATTCATCGAAATTATTGACTTCTGGTGTTTCAGAGAAAATTATAGGTAGTGGCGTTGTCATTCAGAAATCGTTTTGCAATGATAATCGTATCATAACTGCATTGACAGCTTTTCATGTGGTTGTACCGCAAGTGACATTCACTTTTAAATCATTCATTGGTTTTTATTTGACAACGACTGTTTTCATCAATCTACCGACGATGATATACATACGAAAAACCAATCCACAACATCTCAAGAGAATGCTCTTATTTTTAATTGTTTATTGTTCGGTATGCTCTGGTATTGTCTACTGCTTCGGACTATTCGTGTATCCTTTCTTATTCCATTCGTATTATCGATTGAGCATTCTATTCAATGATATGGATCATCTCAAAGATGAAGTATTGGAAATGCATTGTCAAATCAAATCGTCCGCTTTCGTCTTTTCAACAAGTTGGTGGGACGACATAGGTTTGTTAAAAAGAAAATATAGGAAATATTTATAAATTGAAATAGAAAGTGATCTAGGATTTTGGAATATATTCTAATGATGACCTCTATGTTTGATCTTAAATGAGACGTTCAAGAGATTTCGAAAACTAATTATTCTTCTATGCAATACAAACTATCTTTTCATGTTTATTTGTTTAGGTATTCTCCAATGTTCGAATGTCCCGGAAAATCTCTTTGGTTATTTTGAAGTGTGTAGACCAAAACTGAACCATACATTACCAATATCTGCATCAACACCAGTCAATGTTATTGGATTTGTTGCTCGTTCTCCCGAGACATTCGACTTCATTATTGATCCTCACTTTTCATCATATTTACCATTAATACCTATGAAATCAGCAGATGGGAAGAGACCTGAACATTTACTACCAATGCATCGATTTATGAATTGTACTGGTACCTTACGACTCAGTGACCAACACATTCTTTACATTGATACTCCAGCAACTTATGGTTTCAGTGGAGGTGTGTGTTTTCTTCCAAAAGATAATGATGAATGGGAATTTACTGGATTATTAATTGGTGCGTCTCGATTGTGGAATAAATGTGTACTACTACAACAATCAACTGCTTTTAATTATTATCACAATAATTTAATTCAATGTGAAGAAAAGCAAAAAGACCAACAGGAGAAAATTGAGTTCTGATTGAAATTCTTTTCGGATTTGTATTATAATAAAACGTTATTTGATCATATCTCCATGTTCTTTCTGATATTATCGATATAAATGAGATCAGAACAACACTCGTCAATTAGGTGAAGGACATTCATCAAGATCAACTGAACATAAAAAAGAAAAATATGTTGATGTTGAATCATTAGTTACATTTGAAGAATTATGTAATGAAACACTGAAATATAATTTATTACCTTGTGTTATTCCTGAATTTAAAACAATAACAATTGGTGGTGCTATTCAAGGAATTGCAATTGAAAGTTCATCATTTATTTATGGTACTTTTGATAAAACAGTTCTTCATGCAACGCTAATAACTGGAAATGGTCAAATAATGAATTCGAATGAAAATATTCGTTTATGGAATGGTATTCCAGGTTCAAATGGAACAATAGCATTGATTGCATCTGCTCGTGTTCAATTAATTGAAGCAACACAATGGATTCATTTAAAATATATTTATTATTCAAAAACATTAACATTCTTA